ACTGTCATCAAAAGCAAGCTGTATTATTGATATTGAATCGCTCAAGTTTCGACTCAGAATTTTCAATTCCGTTACAACTAGTCACCGCCTTCGGTATTGATGCACAAAACAACGAAATACTTGGTGAAACAACTGCTATATAAATAGCTTCTAATCTAATTCATAATGAATTCGAAATTTTGTTATTCAAATATTTTCAGTGTACTTCCAAAGGATGTGGGTGTGGGTGTGGGTGGGTGTGGGTGGGTGTGGGTGTGTGTGGATGTGGGGTGTGGGTGTGGGTGTTAGTTCAAGTGTATATTCTCCACACCCACAGAGAATAATGAGTACGTAACGCAAAACTTAGATCGAAATCCTCTTTGTCTGGAAACCCGTGAATTGTATCGTTGAAGTTCTCAAAAGGTTATAGCGAAACACAATCAATACGATGAGTGCGAAACACTTGAGATACTCTCTTGCTTATAAGTAATCAAATGAGTTTTATGTCAGCGAAGGTTTTTGCTTCGCTTTAGTAGCATTGAAAGATGTTTAGTATTTTGTCACCCAGGTGATTCAATCCGACCTGTAGATCCTACCGGAAACTATCGGATCCGATGTCGGATCACCCCGGAATTCGTCGGGTTCCCAACTAAATCCGATCGGAACCCAACCGTATTTCACAGGATTCCTAACTAACGGATTCCGGACCGGATTACGTCGGAAAGGATCCGATCGGATCCTGTCGGAATTATTTGTCAGATAATGCCGTAACCACCAGGATCCTTTCACAGAGAAACGCCTGATAACGTAAGGCTCCGACAGAATACAGTCGGATTTCATCAGAAGTTGGCTGAATCTGTTTCGATTGCACAAGGATTCAATCAATATTTCACACAGATTTCATTCTAGCATTCTCAAAATTTCCAAAGATTTACTAGAGATTTCTGACAATTTCATCCAATTTTCCTCAAGATTTCTAAATGCATGTCCAGGATTTCATCCAGATTTCTGAAGATTTCCTAAGGATTTCATCAAGATTTATAAAGATTTCTGAAGGATTTCGTCGAGATTTCTGAAAATTTCACAAAGATTTCATCGAGATTTATCAAGATTTCATCGAGATTTATCAAGAGTTCATCAAGATTTATGAAGATTTCCCAAGGATTTCATCAAGATTTCTAAATGCTTGTCCAGGATTTCATCCAGATTTCTGAAGACTTCTTAAGAATTTCATCAAGATTTATAAAAATTTCTCAAGGATTTCGTTGAGATTACTGAAGATTTCACGAAGATTTTCCCAAGGATTTCATCAAGAATTCTAAAGATTTTCCAAAGAATGAATCGACATTTTGAACAGATTTCACCAGGATGTTATCAAAATTTCTAAAGATTGCATCAGGATGTCATCAAGAGTCTAAAGGATTTCAACTGTTTCAACTGGGATTATTCCTAGAATCTAACAATGTACATACTACGATCCTTCTTAAAATTGAACAATGCTTGTACTAAGATTGTTCCTAATATATAGAACTTAGTTATACAAAATGGCAGAATTCACTTGATATATGAAAGTAGAGAGTTCCTTATATAGATCGATACCTGTAAAACAAAACGGTGAATGAAATCTGGACGAAATCGGATTTCCAGATTTTTGATTTTGTTGTTGGAATTTTGTAAAAATAGGAATATCTAATAAGTTAATTAATTAGTTGATTGATCTGTCAGAATATATACTAATTCATGAATCCGCTGTGTGGAAAACATAATTGTATAAGGAAATAAATCATTTGAAGTAAAATTAATCTAAGCAACACTTTGGAAATTCATTCGAAATATTAAAGTAGAGACTTGCTTATATAGATCGATATCTGTAAAACAAAACGGTGAATGAAATCTGGACAAAATCGGATTTCCAGATTTTTGATTTTGTTGTTGGAAATTTGTAAAAAGAGGAATATCTAATTAATTGATTAGCTCATTGATCCGTCAGAATATAATCTTATTCAAGAATCCAATTGCCTGGAAAACATAATTGTATAAAGAAAACAAATCATTTAAAGTAAAATTAATCTTAACAACACTTTGGAAATTCATTCAAAATATTAAAGTATAGACTTCTTTATATAGATCGATATCTGTAGAACAAAACGGTGAATGAAATCTGGACGAAATCGGATTTCCAGATTTTTGATTTTGTTGTTGGAAATTTGTAAAAAGAGAATTATCTTATTAGATGATTAGTTGATTGATCTGTCAGAATATATTCTAATTCATGAATCCGACTACATGGAAAATAATACTGGATACCCAGAACGAGTAATCCGACAGTCGGATCTCGTCGGATCCTATCGGAAAAATTATCGAATTTTATCGAATCCGATGGCAATTCGTCGGAATCCTTGGTATCGGATTCCGACAGGAAGTTGTCGGATGTCGGAAAGTGTCGGAAGTGGCCGGGATCTTGTCGGAACTCTGAAAATCCGACACTTTCCAGCATCCGACACCTTCCGACTAATTTCCATCGGATACGATGGTGTGAGATCGGCCTGGGTATTCTGCATTCTTATATAATCCAACAAATTCCGATACCAGTGATTGATCGGTTTTATCATGGAATCCGGTGTCACTTGAAACCGCAAAATCCGGCGACTTCTTGACATCAGATTCCCCGGAATCCCATCGGAAGCGAACAGATCTTGAGATCGGATCTGATTAGTTCCGAATATATGAATCTAGTCGGAACTCGATGAATCCGACCGGCGGATATCAAAGGAAAACAGTGGATAGCATCGGAATCCGACAAAAAGTAACCGACCGAATCCGATTAGCCGTATCTCAACGGATTTGAAACCTATCCGGCAGGATCCGACATAGCTATTTCGACCTGGGCAGCTGAAAATTGACACAATCGTAGAAATGAAAGGATGATAGGTTTTCCAGAATTAGTTTCTAGAACTTTTATTATGATTTGAAAGTGATTTCAGAGGACTTTCATTATCATGTGAAAGTAGGTTTATTACTTGTTTTGTGTTGAACCAAAAGTTCTTCAGTTTTCGAACTCTGATACTGTTTTTCTTACAGTGTGCGCCTTCTTTTCGAAGATGAAAGCAGTTATCTTGCTCCTCATGACTGTAGTATATAGGTACAATGATATTTGTTGTGTGTCGCTATTTGAGGGATTGATCTCATTTTCTACGAAATTCGTTGTAAAGCTCCTCTGTTAGATGACTAAAGAAATGAAGTTCAAAATGACAACGGAGAACCATCTTCGGTAGACTCCTTGAATAGTTTATGAAAATGAGTCAATTTGATAGTTATGATGTTTAAATTGAAGTTCGATGAAATAAATAGTAGTATTAATGGTGAAAACGATTCTTAGATTGTACAATTAGGAACAAAGTCGAAATAGTTCTCATAAATATTCACGTGTGTAGAATTGTACATGTGAATTCCTTCAACTATTGGAATTAGCTAGTGAATAGACCTGTCCACATTTTTCTCAAAGTGATGGGATGTCATAAATAACATTCTTTAGACTGCAAATCGTGGTGAGATCATGAGAGAGAAGAATTGTAACGGCAATAGTCGCCAGCTATGTTTTGTCTTTCCTCTTATTGTGTGTATATTTATTTATATTTGAGACTTCTTTGTTATTTATGTTCTTATGTTCCACTTATTCGTTTTTTGTATTATTTTTGGTTTCCCATTAATCATTGTACACGCTGTTCTTTATTGTTATGCTTCCTCCTGACTGTTTCATTCAGTTACTTGCTTTCTCTTCTCTCATCTCTTATTGGTTATCATGATATCGTTCGTATTCATCATATATTGTTCAATAAAACCATGAACATTCATTCATCCTCAACTCATGTTATCATTGCTTCATCATCATCAACCGCCTCAAAGTGGCATATGAGGGTGTGGGTGTGGTGTAAGTCTACCTTTGAAGGTGAATACATGATACATTGTAGAGTAATTATCTCCTCATTACTCATCCAGCAATCGTAATCCCACACCCACACTCACCCCACAACGAAAGAGAAACAATGTTTTCTTTTAATATATGAGTTATTTTTTCGGATAATCAACCGTTATCTTCAATATAATATCCACGGCATATGGTGACGACAACAAGACACCGATTAAGAAGATTATTTCTTAGAATCACAATAAATACCAGGCACTGTCTGATTTCTGAAAATTGAATATCTGAAGACGGGACATGAACTTATTAAAGTCATACAATTGAGAACAGTGAACACTACTGAATGTGTTCGATCATAACAGGCATGTTAATCTTCGTTGATTGCAATATATTATATGCTCTAGATTTATTCCATTTAATTATTTATTAAATAAAAAATCATATGTATTGAAAATTAGATCTCTTGTTTATTTAAAAGTAATTGCCAGTTATATACAAAAAAAAATACAAGATGTCCTCAACAACTAAAATTCTACCACCATAAATATAAATCACGATTAATAAATTTAATAAGATAATTATCAAGTAAGTTTTCTGATTTAATTAAAATATTTAATTCTTTTAAACATACTTTTGGTATTTGTGAAATACATAAAAAGAATAAATGTTGTGTTTTATCATTAGTTTTTGATAATAAATATTTCGTTATTTGTCGAATTTCTTTTCGATTCATACGAGTTTTAAGATAATCTAATTGTGGAAATAAATTAACAATCAATTGAATTTCATTCAATGAACAACATTGTTGAAGATCTAAATTTTTTATTTTATTTATTTTTGATACATATTGAAAATTTTCACTTTGTCAAATTAACTTTGTATTTGTTTTCTGGTCATGTAATAAATCCAATTTTAATGCATATAAATTCGGTGTAAAACGTAATAATTCAATAATTTCTTCAAATGGAAAATTATAAGATTCAATAGTTAATTTCTTAAGTTGTGCTAAAGGAATCATACGATTCAAAGTTGTTATAATCGACTTATCCGATGTTTGAAAATAATGATTAATAGTTAAATGAGTAACATTTGGAAAATAATTTAAATAAATATTTATTATTTGTTTACTATAAATCGAAAGATGTTGAACTGAATTTAAATTGATTTCTTGAAAATGTGAACAATTATATTCATCTATTTCCCAATAAAAATCATAATCGTTTCGTCTAAAAAAGAACCAAAGAAAAATTAATGTGTGTCCAATAATGAATGTTCGTTTTTTTATTTTGAGTTTTTAAAATACGTAATAAAAACTCTTTTTAACCTCATTCGATAGATAATGGAAGGTTTTTACAAAATTGTTGATTGCATCTCTCTAGAAAGTATTCCTCCTGAGATATAAAGATCAAAAAATGTGCGATTTGCTATTTTCGTGAGCGTGTAATTATGAACGAGAAATCAAATCGAGCCGACTTTCACTTTTTTGAGTTCGGCTCGGTTCATTTTTTGAAAACTACCTATCAAACATAACTTGATAACCGCCTATTCGCAAAAAAAAGATACTAGCTGAATCAAGCGTTTGCTTTTATTTGAGATATTCAAGATAAAAGTCTTCGTTTTAATACTTGGATGTATTTTTAAAAAAAATGAAATTTTTCTAAACTAAGTTTGTTTTGCGAATTATCATTTGTCATAGGTTCTCATACAGTTAGACGTGTAATTTAAAATGATCTAAGTATTAAGTTGATTAGTACACAATTTTTTATTATTCTGACTCTTTCAAAAGAAATAGCTCGAACGAGTTGAAACAAAAATGTTTTTTGTTTTTTGTTGCTTTCATATTTTCTATCAAAAATATTTGTCTTAGAACTTTTCGAAGTACATCAAAAGTTGCAGAATATTTCAGCGGGTCCGTTTTTTTTGACTATAGCACTTGTACGATTAAGTAGATCTGAGGTTTACTCAAAATACTTCCTTGATAAACCAAGACAACAGTAAGGTAGAGAATCAAATGAAGCTAAATTGGGATTGCTTGTTAATTTATTTTTGTTTACCTATATGGACCTGTTGAATAAATAATTCCAGTATCTAAACGTTTTGTTCAATCATGTTGATGTATAAAAAACCAATTTTTTTTAATCCAAAATGACGAATTAAATTGATTTATTATATCATGATATGTTAAATTATTATTTTCCATACAATTTCGATGATTTATATCAAATATGCGTAAATATGGCATAGAAATTACAATCAATTTTTTCCATCATTTAGCATTTGAATAATCTTCATCATACTTTATTGTAAGACGTAAAATTTCAATATAATGAAAAAAATTTCTAAAAATTTTTTTCAATTTTATCAAAACTAATCCAATCAAATTTAAATGAAACATATTTTAAACATTTTAATTGAATTGAAAATAAGTCTTGTCTTTCGAACAAATCGTGAGAATATATAAGATAATTAATCGATAAATGACAAAGTTTAGGAAGACAACATAGTAAATTATTCAATGATTTAAATGGAAAACAACCATTTATTATGAAATATTGAATTGAACTAGAATTATATTCATTTCTAAATAAAATAGAATAATAAAAATATTAATCATATAATATTAAATATTTTCAC